GAGGGAGAGGGAGAGAGAGAGAGGGAGAGACAGAGAGAGAGGGGGAGAGAGAGAACAAGAAGGGCCGCGACTCTGCCACGCACAACAAGAAGCAGCACTACCAACAACCATACAACCATACCATCACAGAAACAGGCCCCAATGCAGGCACGATGGGCACAGAATTCGGCTTTGGGAATGCACTCTTTCCAGAGCATGGGCCCTGCCTTCTACGCCATTTCTGGGTTCCCCGGCTTTTCTCCGTCTTTCTCTTTTTCTTTATCCCTCAGCCGCACAGAAAGCTGAGTGTCACTCTGCTTCCACGGCCTGCCGAGAAGACACTGCTTTCAGCTGAGCCCGCGGCTTGTCTAAACCCAACAACGCTGCAGCGGCATTGTTGAAGAAGGATGAAGGGATGTGCCTGGGAACACAGTTTGCCCTGAAGTCCTGACAAGCCCAGCCGGCTTTGCAGTCTGTAGCTCCCTCCGAAGATTGACATGTTCTGGTTTGACCGAAATCCGGAAGAGCCGAGGACAGGTGTGTCCAGCACTGGCCACTCGTCAATTTGCGGAAGCACTGGGCCCCGGCGAGGTGGCAGCCAGGTACTCGGCCTAAGAGGCTTGTGAAAGGGCTCTGGTCTACAAATGCATTGAACAGCAAGGTGCTCGGAAAAGGCGACTGATTGTGACGATACCCCGCTCTGATACACCCATTCATGGTGGTTGGAGTAGTGGAGGCAGCTGAACAACATCCAGCAGCACGACGGCAGAAAACTTAAAGAGCAAACGGCGCTTTTACTTCAGGCGATGTCGGACTGCCGCAGCGCAAACCAGAGTGAGAACTGCTGGCAGCATCATGGCGCCCTGCAGCTGAAGAAATTTTGCAGGTGCAGGACACGCATCCCATCCCATCCATTCCCATGTCCCACGCCTGGTCAGGCCACTTGTCGTAGATGAAGCCCAGGACCTGAGCCCAGGTCCGTGTTCATGTTTGCTGATATGGTCACGTCAACGCCGGAAGCTAGGACCGCAGCCGGTGGGGCCAGGAAGAAGACCAGATCCCCCGCTTGCCGGCCCAGCGACAGGGCAGAGCCCACCTTTTCCTCGCTCGCTGGCTTGACTGTTCATGTAACGGCACACAGCACGGGGTTGCCAACTTGACGGCGAGGTGATACTGCTGCAAAACATGCCTCGGACGAGAATACCTGCCCTCGGTTTGGAAAGCACAACATGGTGCCGTGCAGGATTGTCTTGACCAAGTGTCTGAAATTCTTGCCACCTACAATGGCGCTTCTGAAAATGGGTCTTTGTTCCGGTGCCAACAGCCCCCAAATAGTACCCTTCGTGCCTTTGGGGCAATGTCGGCAGCGTATGCGCTCAGCACGGGCCCCTAGGCGGGGTCTCGTGTGAGTCATGGAACTATGGAACTTCGCTTCAGACTCCTATCCGCTCGGCTTGACGAGTTACGAGCACGGCTTCGCCCACGGACCAGAGAAGGTTTGACAGCACGAATAGCTCCCACCTCATGCACAGGCTTCAGCTTGGCTTGACATTGCAATTGCACGACTCCTCCTGGATTGAAGGAAAAAAACCTCCGATCGGCAAAGGAGCTGCTGGCTGAAGGCCACTCCAAAGCAGCCGGCTGCGCAAACGGCCAGCGACGGCGCGAGGAGTGGGGCACGGCCCCATCCTTAGTAAGCAGCACAGCAGATCACAGGACCACGCGACAGGTTGCACCATCGGCTTGACATTCACAGACGCGCAGACTCACGGCATTTCACGCAGAAGCCGCAGAAGTATTATGTGAAGTGCGAACCAGGCACGATCCGACAGGGCTCCTGCAACAGGAGCCAGGAAGATGCCCGTTGCAGATCCTGGCAAACTGTACACTGTAAACACTGTAACCAGCTTCCAATGAGCTTGTACTTAACACTTCTACCTTGCAAGATCTTGCCGTTCCATTCGTGTCTCCATGATCCTCTGACATAGGCTAGCTGGTCTCTGGAATCCTGTGGCAACGCAGTCCTATAGAGAAAAGGCCGCCAATCTCGGCAGCCTGACAGAGCCAGTGACAAGCAGGTCCTTTCGCGACTGAACGGAGTGCCTGACCACTGAGCCCTGCACCGTCGTGCCAAAGGTATGAAATGCTTGCAAGGGCATGATCGTTACCTGGGCTGCTTGGAACCCAACCGAATGTCAGAGCATGGAGACGCTGCGCCGCAGCAGACCCGAGCTTTTTGCAAGTCCAGTTGCAAGGGCTGCATAGTTCAGCGAAAGTGCAAGGTTACAACCAAAGAGCGCCTGCTTGCTGAAGATCAAATCGGATAAGCGAGACCATCAAAAAGTGCTTGTCCAAACTCTCGGCCAAACCACTTCCGATTGCTTTTGCAAACTTTTACGCATCGGCAATCGGAAAGGCACCTGCTGCCGCGGATCCTGCAGGAGACTGCGCCAGTCATTCGCAGCATCTCGCAGCAGGATGCCCAGACGCATCTCCACGCCGGAAGTTCGCTGCCGCGGCTCCTGCATGCCCAGCAACTCACCTCTTTTGTAGACGACAGCTTCGAGGATGCGCGAGTCTGTGCCATGCTGTACGAGCCGGGCCGGCAGCGTGGCATAAGCAGCGCCGCAGACCGCAATCAGCCCCGCGACCGTTGTGTAGGCCATCGGGGCGCCATAGCGCTGGGTCAGCACGCCACCTGACCGTAGCTAGCACTCTGTGCAGGCTCTGATCGCGTCTCTTATTCGGGAAGTGCCAGCTTCGTCCAGCCTATCACTGGGCCCACAACATAAGCTGCAGAGATGAGCCCGCCCTGTGCGCCAACCTTAAAGTTTGTCATGCAGTGTGCGACTCTGCGACTCTGCGACTCATGAAAGCGCCATAAAGAGCCTACGCATCAGTAACTCAAGAAACCCGTTCAACACTGTGCACGCAATCTCAGGTGGTCTCAACCCGAAAAGCATAGCTGGATGTCCGAGTCTCGATGGCGCCGCGAAAGGGCTTGAGGTGGGACTTCTCCGTCATGTCTGCCTGAGGGTCCCTAGCCCAGGTCTGAGGACCCGAGAAGCCCCCCCAACCCTGACAAGTCCTTGCCTTCGCTTATGAAGGCTACTTGTCAAGGCAAGGCTCGACGTAAGCCGCTGAACCCGCTGCTGCCAGAGAGGCCCCGGAACCGCCAAGGAAGCGCAAAGGCAACATCGTGCCTGCCATGGCTGCAACATGTCAAGGCGAACTCTGGGCAAGGCCCGCCAGCTCTGTCCTGCCTATGGAGGTTCCCAGAGCAGTTCCCAGACCTTGGCTTCTAGAAAGCTGTGCCGCTCCTTCTTTTCAGGACCTCTGAGACGCTGGCAGCCCAGGGCAGCGACGAGCTCTCCCGCGACCATGGCCGGGACCCTTCCAAGGCCTCACACCACCAAACTCTGACGGAAGCTGCAATGATGCAGCTGGTGTGCCATCAACCAGCTCGGGCTCGGGCGGTCCACCAGGACGCCGGCAGGCAGATTCACAAGCACCCTTGCCAGGCCTCGAGGCTTGGAATTCTGACCCGCACAGGTCAAGCAGGGCTCGCTGCCTGGAACTCCCAGCAACAGACCCACGCCGAGAGCTCCAAATCCAAGCTCCTGCCAATGCCCGTCGCGACACCACCTCTTTCGGACAAAGTTCGGCAAAGTCGAGGCATGCCCAATTTGCCCAGCTATATGCCCAGCTGTCCTGTGAAAGCGCGGGCAGTGCTGGAATCACGACTCCAAAGCCTGCACCGAGAAAGAGGGCGCAAAAAGAAAGGCGCGGTCCCTCTGAGATCATCTGAGATCTCAGTATAGGATCACCACAGCCCCAGCTCGAAGGGGCTCAAGATTCTTGATGCGAGTCGGCAGTGCTTCGAGATCCGTCGTGGACCCGGCCTAGGTTCAAGACGGCCCCCGATGCAGAGAGCACCTCGGGCACGGACAAACCTCTGAACGATTGCAAAGATCGGGTGGCATCGGCAACGAGGAGAGATTTAGGGAAACGCTATGCCTGCTCCAATTTCACTCCGCTGATCAAGAACCCCACAACTTTTTCAAGCCAGACCACCGCCAACTGCCGGCGCTCCTCTCTGGAGCATGTAGCCCAAGCAGCGGCGAGTCCTGTCACTCCGTGGTAGCTTGCACCTATCGAGTCCTGCACGCCTTTTGCACACAGAACACTGCCTGGCTGAGTTCGTTTCCCATGGCCTGCATAGGGCTGGGCAAAGACACGTCGATGAAGGTATCTCTTGAATGATTGCCACTTGCGGTGCTACGGCGCCACCTCCTTGCGCGCAGCAGCGCGAGCCTCGCAGGCGATGGCACGCGGCCCATTGCACCGGTCGGAGGCGGCGGAGCATCGGCACCGGTTTGACCGCCGGGGTTGAAGGACTCTCTGAGTTGAAGCTCAAGTCTACCAAACTTGTGGGAGCTCAGGGGGCTGATAGACACCGCTCCTCGGGTCTTGCTTCCTTGCACCAGCGAGCATGATCGATGCCGATGGGTTAATCACTTCCCCCTTTCTTAAAAATCATAACAATAAAAGCACATCGGGGCGAATCCTCCCGAAATCATCCCTGTCCTGTAAACCCTACTCTGAAAGCAAGAGCACAAGCCAACGCGGGAGCAAGAGCCAGAGCAGGAGCAAGAGCACGACCCCTCAAAAGTGGCGGTAGAGACACAAATACCCCCGAATAATAAAATCACTTTGCGTGAGTTCGTATTGGCCCCCCCGCTTCAGTTTAATATTAGGGGGAAACGCTTAAGAGCCGGAGCAGGACGTTTCTGCATTCAGATTTTTTGGGCCGCGATGCGCCTCAGCAGCGGTCGACTGCGTGGCTCGGCTTGAAGCCAGCTAGCCGAAGTGGTTCTTTGGCGGCTTTCGCGGCAAGCCATCTTCCCGATGCATGAGGACAGCCAAATACACACTGAAAGCCCACCCTATCAGCATGGCGCAGCTTGCCGTCGCGATGAGGCCGTCGCCCGTCGGCCTGCAGCTAAACAACCTCTATAGGCCGACATGCCATGAGAGCAAAACTACATTAACGGGGCCAGTCCAATATACCCCGCTCTAGACTGCTCGAGCCTCGGGAGCTGGAGAACTGCATCCACGAAGTAGGCAATGATCCCGGCCAGGGAGGTCAAGAAACCTGCAAGCAGGGAAGGCATCCAGTTTGAAAGATGCCCACCACAGTTGTGAGAAGAATTGCACGACAATTCCCTTGCCTGTAAATGTTCCAAAGAAATCTGGCGGAGCGAAGGTCACGGAGTATCTGGAGACAACCTGACCGCGCGAGGCCGTTCCATCGACTGAACTCAGAAGTTGCCACTACTTGCTGTGTGTATGTGTGTCCAGAGAAAACAGAAACATTCCATTGCTGACCAGGGAGCGTTCAAGAATAGGCTGAACCACGTGACCAGAAGAAACAGGCTGAGTAGTTGCACCCAGACTATCGGCACCATCAAGGTGAAAGGAACGAGGAAAGCCAAGAACGAGGTAAACGCAAAGACATTCAGAAATCCGAAGTAGTCAAAGAGTAAACCTGCAGCCGGGTTGACGACGATTCCAAGAACGGCCATGAAGGTGGCATAGGCGGCGAGCAGGCTGTCTGCTTCTGCTGGCTGGAACAGAGCACGATATCGAGCCTCCAGCCCACTGATGCAAGTGAGCTCTCCGGCCATGAAAAAGCCGATATAAAGCAGCATACAGGTGTTCTGCCGTGGATAGAGGTTGTAGACGCCACACGCTTCTTTGACTGAATGCTTTATCGCCTTCCAGCCCACAATGGAGTAAACATCCAAACTTGAGGGATGAGTGTTGAGAACGCGGCCAGCTTGCGTCAGAGTCTGAAGCTTTGTCGGGCAGCTCAGTAGGAAAACCAAGCCAGACCTCGAGCAACTATGGCTATATCCTACCACACTGTGCCCCAGAGCTAATCTAGTGAGGCCTGCTGTACTTTGATCCGACCATTTCCAAGTCTTTGGGCAAGGGGCAGCAAGCTGAGTCCAGCCAAGACCAAGAAGGACTCCACAATGTTGACACCCTCTTGCGCCAGAGAATTAAACACGAAGCCCAGTGACCCGGAGGCCTCCGATCAAGGAAATGCAGCAACACAATCAGGATATGATGGGATGCGGCAGCAAGTACGGCATAATTGCCTCAAACCGGTGCCGATGATCGTGGTGGTGCGGTGGCGGTGGTAAACGTGGTGTTGGGAGTGTGCCGGCGGGAGTGGCATGAGTGGTAGTGGTGATCGAACGGCGAAGCACAAACGCAAAATGAAAACATGAAAGCCTCCAACGATAGACAGAACTTAGCACATAGTACGGGTATGCACGAAAACAGAAACCCTAGAACTGAAATTTCACTTGTCGAACTCCATACCCACGTATTTGGCGATGATTTCAGCAAGTACTACTCACAGACTAACCTACACAACTGACATGTAAGCTCTGGAAGATGCTCAAGCCATTCAGCGATAAAACAGGAAACCAAGCACGGACAGAAGAAGAGAGAGGACCAAAGGGGAGAGGTTCATGTATCTGGCAGAGATATGATTGCCCCAGGTGGGCGGGCTGGGTGAAATGTCGATTTCTGAGCCGGTGGCGGAAGAGAAGACCGAAGGTTCAAGTGCCCCAGCTAACTTATGCTAAAATCATTTAGCATTGTAATATATTATACATATATATGTATGTATGTATGTATGTATGTATGCATTTATGTACGCCTGCCTGCCTGCCTGCCTGCCTGCCTGCCTGCATGGATGGATGGATGGATGGATGGATGGATGGATGCACATATGTATGTGTATATGCTTCTAAACTAATAATAGTAACAATAATGATAATAATAATATATATAT